TTATAAAATGGGGCAAAACAGGGAGGCACAGCTGTACCTGTATTATAAAATGGGGGGAACAGGGAGGCACAGCTGTACCTCTATTATAAAATGGGGGCAAAAACAAAAACAGAATCAGTTGCTGTTGAGTCCAACTTATGACAGCCTCATGTGAGACAGAGGGTTTTCATTGGCTGTGATCTTTTGACCATAGATTACCAGGCCTTTCTTCTGAAACACCTCTGTATAGATTCAAATTGCCAATCTTTCAGTTACTAGTCAAGTGATTAACCATTCGTATTCTGCATCCAGGGATATGTAAGCAGTTTGAATTGGGAGAAGGAAGGAAAGAAATCTGTTCTAGGATTAGGATCTTTAAATAAAAATACAGTCATTAAGACCATGGTGAGCCATTTTGGCTTCTCTGGGGGAAGGAAAACAGGACATGCCTGGTAGAATTGTAAATGGAGAACTAGCCTGGAGGAGGGCCTTTTTTTTGAGACAGGGGAATTGTGGCATATCTGCCCATATCTATTGGGTTGGGCGCCCAATTTTGCAAAATCGAATAAAGAAAACCTCACTCTTGCTAAAATGAGTACAGATTGGATTACCTGAGCATTTGTTGGTATGGACAACGTTTATCACAGTAGCAGTCTGGGAAAATAAAACAGTGCCTTCCTTTAGGTGATTCAGAGGCAGGGCCAGGCTACAACTCTTATCTCCTGATTGTTGTTGAGTTCCTATATAGGGTCACTATGAGTCAAGTCTGTTCCCACTCATAATGACCCTGTATAGGGTTTCCAAGGAATGGCTGGTGAGTTTGAATTGCCCACCTTGTGGTTCAAACCAACCTTGAGATCCAGGACTTAACAGCCTGGGACAGCTTTTCTGATGGGTAAATGATGTGTTACTGTCCCACCATTTTCAAATCCATGTCCATCCTTTGCTCTTGCCATCCCTGCAGAGTGCATGGCCTGGAAGTTGAGGGCAGGGACTGTGGAGATGCTGCGGCTGAGTGGATAACCAGCTTCTTGAAGACACAGCCCTACCGCCTGGTGCACTTTGAGCCTCACATGCGACCAAGAAATCCTCACCAAATAAAGAAGGTGTTCCCGCCCAGCCAGAAGGTCAGAGGAGTATCCCCTGGCTTTAGCCTTTGATGTGTCCTGTGTAAGGAAGACTTTCCTTGGGGGTGGCAAGCAGTCTACACCACAGGTGGCATCTCAGTGAGGGACACAGCTGCCATTTTCTCAGGTGGCACCTGGTCAGCTTGATCTGGACAATAGTGGGAATCACAGCAATAGGCAAAAATGAAGTCCTTCCCATGGGGCCTTAGCTGTGTTTCTTGATTTGGGGATTCTTTTGCATTTTTGCCTATAAGCACCTACCCTTACAGGTTGCATTAAAAGTATCTGTGGAATTAAGGATTTTTTTTTTTTTTTTTATCATATATGGAAGGAGCCCTGGTGGTGCAGTGGGAAAGCACTCAGGTGCTAACTGAAAGGTCAGTGGTTCGAGCCCTCCAGTTACTCCTGAGGAGAAAGAGGTGGCAGTCTGCTTCCTTATAGATTACAGCCTTGGAAACCCCATGGGGCAGTTCTACTCGGTCCTAAAGGCTCAACTCAGTAGCAATGGATTTGCTTTTTGTTTTACTTTGTTTTCAAATATAATGAGGTCATCAAGTCCAGGCAGCTTATGAAGCATTTGGGAAGACAAAGGCTCAGAAATGTGACATGATTTCCCCCAAGAACACAAACTTAGTGGCAGCTCTAGAATTCTGAGACTGTGTTCTCTTTACTCCTCCAAGTGATTCCTGTTACTTGCGGATTTATTTGAGGCTTTTGGATTACTGTGGTTTATATATAAAAGAAGAACCAGAGAAACACTTAGAAACGTGTGGTATGTGTGTGTGAAAGAGGGAGAGGGTAGGGTGGTTGGGTTTACAAGTACTGTTGTTGATGCTGTTGAGTGCCATTGAGTTGGTTCTGACCCATAGTAACCTTGCATAGGGTTTCTGAGGAGCAGACTGGTGAGCTTGAACTGCAGATCTTGCTGTTCAAACTGACTTTGCAGTTCAGCGTATAAACCCATAGCGTCACAGTAGGACTCCTTACTAGACACATATAACCTCTGAGAAGTTCATTTGTGTGCCATCTATGATAATAATTTTCTATTTCCTTGTCAGATTGCTTATCCTGATGCCAGCCCATTTTTGATCCTATCTGAGGCATCTTTGGCAGATCTCAACTCCAGACTAGAGAAGAAAGTTAAAGCAACCAACTTCAGGCCCAATGTTGTAATTTCAGGATGTGGTGTCTATGAAGAGGTAATTCTATGCCTTATTCATCCCTTGTTGTTGCTGCTCTGACTCATTCCTCGTGTTTGACTGTATAAAACGCTGCCTGGCCCTGTGCTATCCTCAGAATCGTTGGAATGCTTGAGTCCACTGCTTTTGCTGTTGTGACCATTCACCTCATTGTGAGCTTTCCTTGTTTTCCCTGACCTCTGCTTACCAAACATGATGCCCTTTCTAGCGACTGTGTTCTTTACCGGCAATGAACCCAAAGTAAAAGAGCCAAAGTCTTGTCATTCTGAGTTCTGAGGAACATTCTGGTTGTATTTCTTCTAATACTAATTTGCTCATTCTTTTTGAAGACCATGGTTTATTATGTATATATATTTGTCAACTTTCACAGTTCAAGTCATCAATTCTTCTTTTGTTTTTCTTTGTCATTGTCCAGCTTTCACATGTATATGGAGTGATTGGGTCAGGTGCACCTTGCTTTTTAAAACTTTAAAAGAGATCTTTTGTATCTTCTGTTTCTCTAGCTGCTCCAGGCTGGTCTGCTTGTCCTTTTAATTGAGAATGTCCACCTCAGAAGGTTCTGGTTGGGGCGCAGGAGGATTTAACTTTTTTTTTTTTT